CAAATGAGTAAAAGTTTAATCATGAAAATAAATTAAATAATTTCTGCTGTTTAATACCTAAGACATTTCAACTCCCACAGATTCTGCTAAATTGCAGAAGGCCGGGCAGTCTTGACTAAAACCTCTGTAACTTTGCTTTGTTCCACTTCAGCAGCATTAGTCTTTGCACAGATAATGTCCACATGTTGACTGATGATTTTCTGAAGATTATTGTCCACCGCAGCATGTTTTCAAATAGGTATAATGCTATAAAATACAAAAACAAAAAATTTAGACAAGGAAAAAAACGTATTTTTTCATTGTTCCACGCTCAGTTACTTTAACACAGAAATGTCTGCTGTAATATTTATACCTCTCATGAAGTCTCACAAGTGTTAGCTTTATTTTGATACCAAGACTGTTTATAGACTGTTTATACAGAGTTTTTAATTGCAGAGTAATACTCCATTTATTTTGTGCATGTCATTTTCGAGCAGGAGCCAAAGACTGTTGGGGCTGGAATCAGATTGAAGCCAAAAAACCTTTCCTAGAAAAGGAGACATGATTCACTCTGACAGGTGTGAACGTGCGAACATGTTCAAACTCAATTACATTTTTCATAGCTACCATGTACTCGGTTTGTGTTTTCCTCAAAACATTCCCACAAATGTTTGTAATATGCAAAGTGAAAAGGTTTGGTTTGAATAAGAAGTAAGAAAAAACAAGTAAAATAAAGTCTTAAATTATACAAAATTGAGTAATGCATATGAATTTAATGTTATAACAGTGGGTTATTTCACACTGTTAACCAGAGTGACAGCCTGTGGGAAGAAAGTGTCTCTGTGGTGGATGCTTTTAGTAAACAGTGCTCCGTGTCACCATCCTGAAGGCAGCAGTTTGAACAGTTGTGAGCAGAGATGTTTCCTAACCCTGGACGTGTACAGGTCCAGGATAGATTGAACATCAGAGCCGATGTATTTATTGAATATGTTCACTGTACTCTGGAAATAAACGAGCTCTTCTTTAGTGTTTATAGGCTGATCAAGAAGCACACCCTGTTTAACACTTTCCACAGTCTCATTCATCTCCAGCCTAAACACAGGATTAAGGTAATCTTTATCTACAGTAAATATACATCTAAACATTTCATTAGAACTGCACATGCTGATTTTGTTCATTCTTTAACAAACTGTGAAAGCTCATTGGGGATCTGCTAGTATCCATGTTAGTGTTTAAAGTCCAACATCTCCCTCTAGTGGTCATATATAAACATGTGTGAGGATGTAAAATGCAGAGGTGGAAAGAGTACTCAAAATTTGTACTCAAGTACAAGTACTGTTACACTGGTTAAATTGTACTCAATTACAAGTAAAAGTACTGGTGTTAAAAAAATACTTGAGTAAAAGTACAAAGTACTGTTCTCAAAAACTACTCAGAGTATTAATTACTTTTTAACAGACTGATGTTTTATTCTGTTGTCAGGCATTCAACTCGATTCACCAGTATAAATATTTATGTTCAAAGCACATTTTTCAGATGAACAAGGTATAGAAAGGTAACTTGTTTTGTAAATAAATAGATATAAAAGAAGGAATTTTGTTTGTTAAAACAATGATGTTTCTGAACATGCGTAGAACCATTTAAACTTTTCCCCATACACTGAACAACAGGCAGGTAAGTGTCTTAAACTCTTAGCATTTCTTTCACACTTTACTTTCTGAACCTTTTGTTCAGTTTCAGCAAGAGCTGGTTTTCTAAATTAACAGAGGCAATCCGACTTCGTTTGGCTGTGAAGATTAGAGGAAACTAAATTAGAGGAAACTAAACTTCATTTTCACCCTTGACTATTGTATGACACAGGGGGGAGAGATGTGAGGTGGATCAGTGATCCTGCAGAGTCCTGTCCTCCCTGTGATGGAGGGAGATGACGTCACTCTGCTCTGTAAAACAAAGACCACTCCCTCCAACCTCCCAGCTGCTTTCTATAAAGATGGCTCCCTCATCAGGAAGCAGCCTACAGGTCACATGACCATCCAGCATGTTTCCAGGTCTGATGAAGGCCTCTACAAGTGTGACATCAGCGGTCATGGAGAGTCTCCATCCAGCTGGATCACTGTCACAGGTGACACACTCACCTGTCTGTGTTTCTGCAGCTTTCAACATTCACAATGTGACGACAACTTAATGACTGTGTTTGCTTTATTTTAGGGGAACACACCACCACACCTCCACCTACATCCACACCTCCTCCTGGTTCCACCTCCATCACTCTTCCTCCATCACTCTCTCCTCCTGTTCTCTCTGTGCTTGTCATGTGTTGGATCAGTCTGTGTTGTGGTTCTACTGGTGTTACTGGTTCTGCTGGTGAGACGATGTGTTCACAGGAAACCTGAAGGTGAGACTCAGACTTCCTGATCTTTCATGTCTGAGTTTGTTCAGTAGAA